ACACGGTAGGCTCTGCTCTATAAAGCCCGAGGCAGACTCTTCACAAACACGCTGAGGCCCCTCCCAAAGCAGCCCGAACGCTTGTTCTTATGTAAAGTTGTTATTCAGGAGGCAAGATAATACACCACCTTAGAAACCAGCCAAAGTGGTTGAAAACAATTTTTTAAATGTTTTAGTTTTTTTGAAAAACTATTGCATTGCACACTGTGTTTATTTTGAGACAGGCTCTTGCTCTGTTGCCCAGGCTGGAAGGCAGTGGCACCATCATGGCTCACTGCAGCCTGGGCCTCCTGGGCTCCAGCTAACCCCCCGTCTCAGCCTCTTGAGTGGCTGGGACTACAGGCGCACGCCACCAGACCTGGCTAATTTTTTAGTTTTTTATTATTTTTTGTAGAGACAGGTTCTCGTTCTGCTGCCCAGGCTGGTATCAAACTCCTTGGGTCAATCAATCCTCCCACCTCGGCCTCCCCAAAGTGCTGGGATTACAGGTGTATACCAGCACAGAACAATTCTGTTTTAGGGTTCAGCTGCAATTTGAATTCCCACGTTCTAAGGAATCCCTTCACCTCCTTTTCCTTCCTCCAGCCAGCGATGCCAGAACACTGGGGCATGACAGCATAAGTACCTAGTGAACAATAAAGACAAAGAGTCGGAGTGGAAGGGCACCACGGCCAGGCACCTGGCACAGCAGAGGCCACAGGGTCCAGCAGCAGGGAGCAAGTAAGCACTCCCAGACGGGAGGCTGCACAGCACTGGAGGGTACAGCTCGGGGAAGAGGGAGAGGGCACCATGAAGCCAGTGTGCCCCCGCGTGCCATCCCGTGAACCTCTCTGCTGATCCTTCCGATCCTCCTGCCCACATTTGGGGTGCACTGTCCGCTACTGCTGCCCCCAACACTGGTCCCGGGAAGCTAAGCATGGGGGCTCCATCTGACCTCACTGGACTCAGGTGCCCATGGCCTCTGGCCTCACACAGGCAGCGGCACTCACCCGCCCCATGGCTGTGCCATCGCTGTCCTGAGGTCTTGGTGCAGGTGGCTCTCCAGACCCCTCCTGCTGTGTCTCTCAGGCTCTGTGCACTTCCAGTGTACCCAACAGTGCCTGAAATGGACCCTCGTCAGCCTTCCTTAGGGGAGGGCCACGCTCACCTGCAGACAGCCTCAGCCAGGGGAGCCCTCCCAGAGTCACCGAACAGCTGTGAGACCCACCCTGCCTGCGACCCAGCACCAGGTATAAGCGCACACCACGACTGCCGGCAAAGAAGCCAGAGGGTGCAGGTGCTGGGGGCGATGGGGAAAGGAGGCCGAGGCAGCCCTCCTGCACCCTCAGTATCAGAGTGGACAGAGGCGTCACAGCAGAAACTGTAGACGGGGCAGTCCATCTCATGGCAGGGAAGAGGAGCAAGGCCGCTGTGGACACGACACTGGCCACATGGCCACAAACCATGCAGGGCTTCCTATTTTCCACTCAGACAGCAAATGGCAACTGGGGGGTGCGACTACAATCTCTCAATATTTAATTCAAAGAAAACACGACTCAAAGATGGTCCCTGGCAGCTGGTGCCGGGTCACACCAATGCAGCATGATGGCACTTCCCAGCCCAGCAGCAGGGTACCGCAGCCACCAGGGCCCTCCTGGAACTGACGCGGCTGCCGGCTGCAGACGTGGCCTCAAACCCACCGCCCAGCGGCAATCCACAAGCGCAGCGCACACCCTCCCTCCACGGAGCAAAGAAGGCAGGCTATCTTCACAGGAGCTGTCCACTGACTCAGAAATTCATTAACTACAGGAAGAAAGAGCAACAATCATCTCAGAAGTAGAGGAGGAGGAAAACCAACGAGTGTGAGCCCAGCACAAGGAAAGGCGGAGGGTGCAGGGGGCGGGTGCAGGGCTAGGGGCAAAGGCCCCAGCCCCAGGATATAAAACAGATGGCCAGAAGAGGGAAGGCCAGGCCTCCTGGCCACCGTCCTGGGGAGAGTTCTAGCTGCTCTGTCAGATTCTGAGTCTGTTGGCACATAACCATTCTTCAATGACAGCTGAAACTACAGAATTAGAAGTGAATACCAAGCTAATCCTAAGTCAGTGATCTAGAAAGTGGCAGCGGCCGTGCCCATTTCTTTGTGCTCTCTCCTCGGGCTGAGGTGCTGTTCCTTGCCTTCCCCACCCACCTGGAGTGAGCGCCGGCTACAGGGTCTCCTGTCAGCCGGGCCAGCGCTCGACCAGGGCAAGCCAAGGGTACTGGGATGGGGCGGGGAGCTGAGCCATCTGCAGCGTGACAGGAAGGACGCTTCTGAGGTCAAGTCTGGCTGGAGAAGTGAGAGCCCTAGACCCACGTGCACTATCCTCCTGTGGGCAGGGGGGCAGGGAGGAGAGCGAATGGGCCATGTGACCCCCGCACACGGCTCAGGGCTTCTCAGCCTCGTCGGCAACATGGAGGCGAGCGGACTTCTCTGGGCCTTTTGAAACATCCTTCTGTTTCCGAAATGTGCGGTCAGCCTGGAGGACGAAGCCCGCATGCACAGGGTGGAGCACGGTGGGAATGAGAACTGGCCAGATGACGAAAAGAGAAAGAATTTCCACAAACAGAAAAAGAGGGGAAGCACTACACAGCTTTACCAGAAAAGGCAGCTTCAGATGAACGGCTGTTTGTTTAAATCACACAGCAGTTTCCTTCAAAAGAGAAGCAGCAGCCAGGTATGAGATTCCGCCCACTATGCCAAGGGTCAGCACTGGCTTCTCCTGAAGCTGTCTTTGATTTAAGGTCCCACAAATATGACCAGTGATAGCAATCAGGAGGCGAGAAGAACGTATGAGAGTTCACAGGGGGAAAAAACAAAAACAAGCTGTTTATAAATGATCATTCGATGTTTAACATAAAGAGCAGTCAGTACCGCAGCTTTACTCATTCTGCAAGTGAGGCCACTTAGAGAGAGTGGGGACCTGGAGGGGCCCCCGAAGATGCGGGAATGAGCAGCAGTCACGACCCTGCTCCCAGTGAGAAGGCGTGAGGGGCAGCAGCAGTGACGGAGGAACCAGAGACACCAGAACAGAGTCCTGTTCAGGAATTCCAGACAGCTCCTCCAGCGTCAGCCCTCAGAGTCCTTCCTGAACTCGGACCTGTGCTGGCGCTGATGGGCCTCCACGCCTGCTGAGAAAAGCTGGAATCTCTGCCCTCACAATAGAGTTGGGAGAGTTTTATCTGCAATTATCAACAGGAGCACTGCAGCAATCTAGAATAAAAGCCGGGTCTATCTTTAAAATTCCAAGTGGATTTTGTTCAGAGTTAGAGACAGGAACAAAGAAATATGGAAGGCAGCATGCCTCACTTTTCCTAGGAACTCAAGTCCAGCAGTATTTTAACTATGATACAATTTCACCACCAGTATAACCATAAATCACTGTGTTGTAGAAAACGAAGAGACGGACCACTGACTGGGAGTCCCATCCTCTGCTGTCCCAGCTGACCATGAGAACCACAGGGAGAAAGGTGCAGAGAACTGGCTCACACTGCGCCAACCACAGCTTCGTCACCCCAACGGAACGAGGAAGACCACAGCTGTGGATTTAAGACGGTGCATTCCAAGGTGGGGCGTGGGGGCTCACACCTGTCATCCCAGCACTTTGGGAGACTGAGGCAGGCAGATCACCTGAGGTCAGAAGTGTGAGACCAGCCTGGCCAACAAGGTGAAACTTCATCTCTACTAAAAATACAAAAAATCAGCCGAGCGTGGTGGTTAATGGGTACATGCAATCCCAACTACTCAGGAGGCTGAGGCAGGAGAATCGCTTGAACCCGGGGGGGTGGAGATTGCAGTGAGCTGAGATCACACCAGTGCACTCTAGCCTGGGCGACAGAGCGAGACTCTGTCTCAAAAAAGGAGAGAGAGAACAAAAAACTGTGCCTTCCTTTGGCTCTCCTCCAAAGCAGCAATTTCCTATTTATAGGTGAGTCGTGCTACAGGACTACCTGAGGAGACCCTCAGGCTGATCTTTACGATCAAACTTTTCAACTGAGAAACTGACCTGAACCGCTTCTGGAGGGTCTGCAGCCCTCCTCCCAACGTGCCTCTGAGGGGTCACGGCAAAGCCCACAGGATGCACGTGCCCTTCTATCCCCCTCATCCGGGAGGCACCTCACTCCTGGGGTGCCCCGGGCTCTGTTGGGTCAGAGATCCGCAAGGCCCGGCTGTGGCAAAGGACACGGGGCTTCTCGAAGGACAGTGCGCCGTGCTTCTGAAAAACAAGCACGATCTTGCTACGCAAGGAGCTATGTTTATGGTTCTCACTGCCAACTTCACAGCTTTTGTTTTATGAAATGGGAAGACCACCCAGACTCTTTAGCAGTAATCCAGAGTGACGGCTGTCTTCTGACTAGAAAGGGTCCTCACGAGGACCTGGGAACAACACGGCCTCCTCCACCAGCGAGCTGCCTGTTCTGCACTGCCACGCCCTCCCCAGGCCCGCATCGTAGGGGCACATCATTTCAGAAAGACAATTCGTACTGGGGTATTCACCAAACAGTCACTCTGTGTGTCAAGGATTAGAAAGCAGCGAAGTTTGAGAGTTTGAGGCAATACACAGGAGCGAAACCACCTTTTGCTAACAGAGCTATCTGCGCAGACACGACTGCCACCAACATCCGCAAGGGTGTGCAGAAAATAACCATTGGCACGGGGCGGGGTATGTTTCCACCACAAAGCAAAAGCTACCCACAGAGCCGCAAATGTAACCTTCAAGCCCCGCCCTCCCCCTTCCAGGCCTGTGCATTGCCACGGTGAGAAAAGCCAGTCCTGCTGAGGGGCTCACACTGCAGGGCCTTCACACCCTCACCCATCCCGTGAGAGACCCCCTCCCTGTTAGCGCAACGCCCTGTATGTGAGGAAAAGGCCAGGTGTATGGCAGGGGAACTGGAGCACTCACCTGACCGTCCCACCCCTCCCGTGAGAGCCCCACCCCTCGGCAGCGCAACGCCCACAGGTGCGTGGGGCCCGGGGCACTCACCTGACCATCCTGCCCCACGTGGTGGATCTGGAGGTTGCCCTGAAAAGAATCAGAGGAGGAGACAGTCATAAGCAGAAATACACCAAGACATATTGCAGGTCATCTGGGATAACAAGAAAAACACCAGTTCTGCAAAAATTCAACCTCCAGTAGCAAAAAAAAGTCCCAAAACAAAATACTTAAATTTCTAGGTACTATTTTTTATTGTAAAGATGAACAAACAACTCGAAAAGCACTATACCCACTTCCCAACCCTGACCCCTCACGAAAATGTCATTTTTGCTTCATTTTTTATTTTGAAAGAATTTTAGACTCACAAAAAGCAGCAGAGAGGTCCTATGTGCGTGCCGCCCAGCTTCCCCAGTGGGGACACCTTACTGAGCTGTGCGGCATCACGCCAGACATGGGCACATACAGCCCACCAGCTCACTCAACCACAGAGCTGCTAAGAGCTCTCCAGCTGGAAATCCATTTTCATTTGTTGTAAAAAGGAATTGTTTTAAGTCTGTTAGACCCTGCTAAATGTTTATTTTCAGATATCTTGCTTCAGCAAAATAATTTTAAATGAACAAGGTATGAATTTATTGTGATGAGACTGCACACTGTCACTTATCACAAAGCCATCATTAATATGATTAGCAATTCTAATTCCTGATGAAAACAAGAAAGGCAATTACCTACACAAGATGGCTTCAGTTTTGAAAACTGAGAGGACAAAACTAATAATAAAAAATTAAAATTCGAGTAGTATAAAGACTTTTTAGCATGAACTATATAAAAAGCACGTGTGTTGATTTTATTCTTTTGCTGCGTATCAATTTTCCTTCATTTCCAATGACTATAAGGAAATTAAGCACTCCGATGAACTGCATGGGTTCTGGAGTATGGAGTTCAGCCTCCCAGCCCCAGCGTGTCTGTGCCTTGAGAAGTGAACCTTCCCCCGACCCCTCAGAGGCAGCTCGTGCACTGGAAGCTGCTGCTGAGATCCTGCCCCTCGCAGCGGCTCAGGGCTCTGCCCCACTCCTGCAGCTGACCTCCCTGAGCTAACAGGTGTATCTCCCGGCATCCCCACAAAGATGGTCCCTGACCCACCCACAGACACAGAACCTGGCTCTGCTCCTTCCTGGACACTCTGGCCTCCCAGGACTGTCCCCCACCTGCCCCCTGCCCTGAGCTTCCTTCCATCCATCCATCTGCTACACGTTTCTTAGTGCCCTGGTCATGCCGCTGTGTGGATGAGCCCGCTCATTCCCAGGGGCTCACGGCCCCCAAGTAACTTCGTTCCTCCCCTTTCACCTCATCCTCATTCCACCCTTGGAACCTTATGCATGTGCTCCCCTCTCGGAATAACCCACTGGGAACTGCTGGTGTCCAAATTAAAGCCACCGCCTGCAGACACGTCCCAGTCCCTCGTGCTCCTCATGCTCATGCCACAGCATGCATATGTCCACAGCCTTGCTCACGGGTACCTGGGCAGGACCGTCTGGGCACACTGAGAGTCCCTTAAGGCCAGGCCTCTTGCTCCTCTGTTCCTCCACAGAACCTGCACCCTGCATGAGCTCCCAGGAGTCCTCACACACCCGCTAACATCTCCAAGGTCCCCTCAACCTAGCCCCAGGCTTCCTAGTCCCTGTTGCAGGTGTGTGTGGGGAAGCCAGACATCTTCATAACGACACACTATCGTGCACCAAACATAAAGCGGGTGCCACTGTCAAGACCTAGAAACAGCCATGCTCCTCATCCCGCAGAGCGCAAAACGGTCACTCGGTACCACACGTGTATGCTGCTCCATGGCCACAGACAAGGCCCAGCTCGGTGCCCTGTGCCTGCTGCTGCCTGTGTGGTAGGAAGCAGCCCAGAGTCAAAGGATGGTCACCAGCCACCCAGGAGACAGTCCTGCCCTGGCACGCAAACACACAGCATGGAGGCCAGCCAGCCTCGGCTTTCTGAAAGCTCAGACCATCAGTCCTGCCTTCACATTCCACACCCCAACAGCAGCTGAGCCCGTGCTTGTGAGCGTGTGGCTGGGGAGGGCTCCCGAACTTGAGACAGCGGAGACAAGCACAGAACTGGCAGGTCTGTCAAGGGCTAGTACCAGCTCTCAGGACTGGGATTCCCCACCATCCCATGAAGTCGGCACTAATCCCACTGTGGCCACGGGGACACAGGGGCCACGTGGCATATGAGGAGAGCGTATCAGGTCACCTGGCAGGGGCAGGCCACATCGTGGGCACACTGGTGGCCTCCCCAGGCAGGAAGGGCAGGGCCACACAGGGAGAGAAAGGTACTGAGAGGACACTTCCAGCCAGGAGCAGAAACACTGACCTAGGAGGTCTTGGCCAAGCCAGACCAGAAGCTGCAGAGACCAACAGACAGGAGGAGGAGGCAGTGAGGCCACAGAGACTCAGGCCCGCCCTGTGCACCTGCAAACCAGAGTCCCCCATCCTCGGGGGACTGGCCATGGCCCAGGTCCCCCATCCTCGGGGCTCCCAGCTGCCAGCACACTGTGACATAGACAAAGGTCAGGAGCATGCGGGCACGGTGCCTGCAGGGACAGTGCTATGGCGAAGGCAGACTTACCTCGCTGTCCTGCGTGATCTGGACCTGCTCCCCCTGTGGCACCTGGGCGATGTGGAGGTGTCCCTGTGGGATCCGCAGCAAGAAAAGACACCAAGAAGCATCAGAAGAAAATCAAAAGCAAAGGAAACAAGAAACGTCTTCCGGAATGTGTGCTCTGGATTATCTGTTTGCCATTCAAAAAGATAACTAACTCCTGAATACTGCAATATAGTCTATGCCTAGCATAAGCTTAAAGTCACCGCTTCCGGAAACGTCTTCCGGAATGTGTGCTCTGGATTATCTGTTTGCCATTCAAAAAGATAACTAACTCCTGAATACTGCAATATAGTCTATGCCTAGCATAAGCTTAAAGTCACTGCTTTAAATTATACTTTGGGTTCACAGTAGTCCCCCTCAACCACAAGGCTTTCAAGAAGCGCCCCCTTCTCCCCACCACGTGGATGCCAGAAACCGTGGACAGTGCTGAACCGTGTATCCTGCACCTGTTCCTGCCCATACATGCCGCACGGCTTGGACACGCTGGACAAAGGGAGGACGCGCGTCCCAGGCGGACGGAGCAGGGCACCCAGTCTCCACGTGCTACTACCCGGAAGAGGAGACAATTTGAAACTTATCAATTGTTTATTTCTGGAACTTCTCATTTAATATTTTCAGATCCCGGTTGACCGTGGGTAATTAAAACCTGGGAAAGTGAGCCCATGGATAAGGGGGATACTGTGTGACGCACACAGAGCGTTTTACAGTAGCTCACAAAGGAGTAACAGGTCCGAGGAGAGGTATTCACACTTCTGAATGTCACTAAACTGAGTAAACTTTAAAATGTGCATGACACATAGAAAAGAGGGGAAACAGAAAAATCAGAATGAGCCCTCTTTTCAAATGATACCCTCAGCTCTCTGGGGATGCTGGGAGGCTACACAGGCCGCGTGTGGCCGGGAGCAGGGGAGCCGTTTGTGTGCCTACACTCGGAACAAGGCAGGCAACGGTTTTCAAATCAAAGAAACACTCACGTGACTATTTAAACAGCTTGAGTCAACACTAACAAATGTGATTACAAAAAACAAAAAAATTAAAGAATTCAATGTTTATACATAAGGCAGACAATTCCTATAAACCTATAAATGAAATGAATACTCATTATCTTATCTGAAATTAACTCCTAGTCAAGATGGACCTTAAAATAAACTGTAGAATGTTCTATGTAAGCATGATGGCAAAGTTATGTATTCTGGAACTCCTTCAAAGAGCTCCTTACTAACAAGATGAGAGTAACTGCCTTTGTGAATGTCAAATGAATTGAATAAGCCTGTGAAATTCACTATTCAAATTCACTATTCATGACTGTCTCATCTCCTGTGGAAGAGAAAGGGTAATGCCCCACCTAAACGCCCCAGCATTTTCTGGAAGCCTTCCCCCTTGCAGACAATGTGCTGAAACCACAGGAGACGAGAGCCACACCCTGCTCTCAGTAGTAGTGGACCCTGTTCCCAGGAGAAAGCCCTGCGACATGGGGGCGCATGATGACCACTGACATCAGAGGTCCCCAGGGGGCTGGCGCAACTGAAAACATCAGCGATGTCTAGTAACACAGGTAAAATTTCTAGTCACCCAGCAAAGCTTCTAGAAAAGTCTTCCTTCTCTGCCACCCCCCTACTCTTGTGCCACAAAATTCAGAAGGTGTTTGCAGAGGGACTTCACCAGGGAGTCAGCCTCTAGTTCATCAGGCTAGCTGCAGCTTGGGCCACAAAACCCTAACAGAGAACTCCGCATAGGCAAGGCAGGGCACTGACTTGATGCTGGGGCACGCCCCCCCAGCCTGGGTGTGCTGAGAAACCCCGAGGGAAAGGCTGCATGGGAACAATGGCCTCGAACTTTTGCCACTGATCCTAGAAGGAAATTACTTTCTTTCCCTCAGTAAGAAGATACCTGCACTTCTGAACTGAGAATTATTACGATGCTTCCCAAGAGCACGGCCTGGCCCTCGAAGCTGATCACCCAGGACCAAGGTGAGCTGAGCGAATGCCCGCACCCCACCACGTGCTTCAACCCCTAGGTACTGCAGCAGCTGCCCTCATCTGTGAAACGCAAGAGCTCACAGCCATGATGGCCTCTCCTTTAAATGCGGTCCCCATGCCTCCTCCCAAGCTATCACTGTGCCCCCGAAACGCAGCGGAAGCCGCCCTAGCCCTGCGGTGGCCCGCCCCACCGCCTGCCCCACCCCGCCCGAGGTGTGTGGTGGAGAGGGTACGTACTACTTGCACCTGTCCGTCTTCTCCGATCTGGTGGATCTGCACCTGCTGCGCGTTGGCCAGGGCGTAGTGCAGCGCCTGCGGCTGCGGCTGTGGCTGCGGGAGCTCACTGGCGGGCGGTGGGGTGCTCATCATCGGCTCTGCGGGGCAACAGGTGCGAACGAGGTGAACGAGAAGTTTCTTAGGCATCGCCTCATGCAGTACATGTGCCCCCCCACCCCTGTGCGTCCCTCACTCTCCACTCCCACAGCAGAGAAGAGGAAATGCTTCATTCCTCCTTCACTCGTACTGCCTCCACTCCTCTGCAGAGGTCACTAAGAAAGCGTCTTAGCAGCTGAGGCTTCCGACATGGAACGCAGACGGGCTGAGAGTGGAGTGACGCTGCCTGCCATGACAAAACCCCTTCCAGTCCCAACTTATTTAAATAAATGAAGTTCTGCAAGTGCACATTAAAAGGTATTTCAGGCCAGCAGTATCTGTCCATGGGTAATTAAACTAATAGGGAAAAAAACCTCACCCACGCACTTAAAGGTACATTTCCAACAAATTTATTTGCTGTGTTTAATCAAAACGAGAGAATGTGCTTTGAGGTACTGTATATTTTCATTGTAATGATACCTCAATCATAATTTTCTTAAACACTTAGAATATTAAGAGCACAGAAAAACTTTTTAATTTTCAACGTATACACATAATTTTCTTGCAGAGAATTATGATGACTAATAAAAAAAGTTTATGCATAAACACGTAATAAGAAGGGCTGGGCACGGTGGCTCACACCTGTAATCCCAGCACTTTGAGAGGCCAAGGTGGACAAATCACCAGAGGTCAGGAGTTCGAGACCAGCCTGGCCAACATGGTGAAACCCCATCTCTACTAAAAGTATAAGAATTAGACGGGTGCGGTAGTGTGCACCTGTAATCCTAGCTACTCAGGAGGCTGAGGCAGGACAATCACTTGAACCCAGGAGGCAGAGGCTGCAGTGAGCTGAGATGGCACCACTGCACTCCAGCCTTGGCAACAGAGCAAGATTCCGTCTCAAACAAAAAACGTAGTAAGATGAAACTCTGTGAGAGAAGTCGAATGCTGATATGAATGAATGGAGAAAAATGAAAAACATAAAATTTCTGATTATTAAAGGAAAGCGGGCCAGGTGTGGTGGCTCACCTGTAATCCCAGCACTTTGAAAGGCTGAGGTGGATGAATCACTTGAGGTCAGGCATTTGAGACCAGTCTGACCAACATGGTGAAGCTCCGTCTCTACTAAAAATACAAAAATTACACAGACGTGCTGGCACACGCCTGCAGTCTCAGCTACTTGGGAGGCTGAGGCAGGAGAATCGCTTGAGCCCAGGAGTAGGGGTTACAGTGAGCTGAGATCACAGCACTGCACTCAGCTCCGGACCACAAAGCGAGACTATCTCAAAAAAAAAACAAAAAAGAAAAGAAAAGGTTTCCACGACTTTTTCACCAATAGCTAACAGTAGGTATTAAATTGCCACAGTACACAGATTGCACTGAATACAATTTTTAAAGTAACGTAATAAAATTTTTTTTCTCTGGAGACAGTTTTGCTCTGTTGCCCAGGCTGGAGGGCAAGTGGTGTGATCTCGGCTCACTGCAGCCTCTGCCTCCCAGTGCAAGCGATTCTCCTGCCTCAGCCTCCTGAATAGCTGGGATTACAGGTGTGCACCACCACCCCCGGCTAATTTTTCTATTTTTAGTAAAGACAGGGTTTCACCATGTTGTCCAGGCTGGTCTCGAACCACTAACCTAAGGTGATCTGCCTGCCTCAGCCTCCCAAAGTGCTGGGATTACAGGCGTGAACCACCATGACTGTCCTCTCTGGCTTTTAAACGGCATTTTTAAAAACTATAAAACTAATGCAGTGCTTATTGGAAATAAATGAAAAACTATAATGAAAGAGAAAAACAAAAATTATCCTACTACCTAGAGACAGACACTGTAAGAATCATCGCACATAGATTTTTAATCAACTTCCACATATAGCTGTATCTTTGCAATAAAAAAATGGTATCACACCGTAAGTCTAGTTCTCACGTCCACTCTCTGCTGCCTGGCTATGAATTATGCCAAGGGCATAATTCAAGTCATGAGCAATATTCCCACAGCCCCATTTCCATGGCCGCAGGTTACTATGCTACACAGTATTTCAGCTGATGCCTTCACCCACGTCCCAGGACTGCCGCCTCTCTAAAGACCCAAGGCAGAATCCCTAACTATAGTAGAAGGCCTAGAATAGAAGAGCTTCTTCAGAACACGTCTCTCAACAAAGCGCTGCTTTGGGACACAACTGGTGTGGCGCACCACAGCCAGCCGCCTCCTGTCCTCAAGCCCCTGGGCAGCAGCTAAGGCTGAGTATCTGATAACTACCAAAACAGCCCAGGAAACCACTTCCTGAAGCCAGCTTCAGAAAGAACGAGACCCCGGGAGAATGCCAGGTGATGTGGTCTGTAACTCGCAGCCCTTCCAGAACAGAGTACTGGCCAACAAAGACTCCACTGAATCGAAGAGTTGGCCCTGTCTATGCTGCCCTCGCATCCTGACCCGGCCCCAGTCAGAGCTCAGGTTCCAAGAGCCGCTGCCAATGCAGCCACTGTGGGGACTTTTCAAAGAATAGTTTGCATTCAAATACTTATTACACTATTTTGAGATGTGTTGGGTGAAAGGTAGTATCAAGTCACATTGTCATCCCTAGTGAAAATTCTCCCAGCGATGCCTGAGAGGTAACTGCAAGAGAACTGTTCCCACTATCTTGTGCTTAAATCCAACTAAGGCCATGAACTCAAAGTAAAAATAAAGCACAATTCAGAATCCACCCACTCCTTCACCTGGAGTCACCAGGCAAACCATGAGAATACAATGGCCAGCATCCACACACAAAGGCCTAGCCCTCCTCGCCCCGTTCACAACACCTTCCAAGAGGCCCAACGGCCCGTGTCCCTCCCGGAGGAGCCTGGGGCGGGCCCGAGGCTGTCTGCAGAAGGGCGCACAGGGCCAGGCCGAAGGTGCTGCAGCTCCACTGCCCCAGGTGCACAGGACCAGACTCCTGCCTCGGTTCCTGGCAATTGCTGGAGCTGCCAGCCACACTCTGGACAGCCCTGAGAGTGCCACCAGGCCAGCTTCCCCAAGCAGGGGAGGGCAGCCTGTCCCGCAGCACGAGGCCTACCTGAGGGGCAGTAGGAGGATGAGTTCGGCGTTCTCCGCGAGAAGCTCTTGACCGCTAGGCTCTGGCCCCGCTGCTTGCGCCGCCACGCCGTGCGACACTTGGAGTCAATGCTCTGCTTGATTCGGTACCAGTCGGATTCCGTGATGCCAAATTTATAGAAAAGGTGACCTGAAAGGACACATCCAAGGACAAGCGGTGAGGCCTGCTGGGGACGGCCATCAGGAGATGCCTGGCTGCAGAGCCTGGGCCCACTGCAGAGGCCTCCCCCAGGCACCCCTGCCCACCAGGCTGGCCCCATCTTCCTGCAAAGGATCCAGAAAGGCCCACTGCACAGAAGGTACTTAGTGGCCCACAGGCAGGGCTCCCGATCATGACACACTCTTTCCAGTTACTGAACTCCCCATTCCTGTGACCTGGGCCGCCCACACCAGGTGCACACCTGAGGCTCTCACAGGATTCCCAGGTCTCCCATGCTCCAACTTCCCTCTGCCCTGAACTCAGCACCTACTGTATCAAGTGCCCAGAGGAGGAGCTCAGGGACCTCAACAGCTGCAGCAGAACTCGTCACTCCTCTGCTCACTCAGGCCTGCTCGGCCACCGCCCTCCCTTCAAGTCTTGGCTCCACCATCCTCCTTGACAACCACCCGCCCCTCCTGGGCCTCCTGGGCTCCCACCCTCCTCCCACCTCCCAGTCCCAGCCCTGCTGGGCTCCCACCCTCCTCCCACTTGCTTGGTCAGACCACTGACCACCTTCCAGTGTGTGGAGAATTCACATATGTAGTGTTCACTGTTTCCCTCACACACACAGGGGCCTTCCTCCACCCATGCAGGTCAGGCACGCAGAATGGCTTCGCGCAGTGGGCAGGACAGGCACCCAGAACGTCCTGGCATGGTGTCTGTGTGATATTGTGCTGGCCTAGAGCCAGAACCGGAGCAAAACTATTTTATAAAATGCAAAACTGTTTGTAGATAAGTTGAAATGGCTGCCCCATTCTCCTCACAATAACTACTGTCCTTGGCCTCTGTAAATAGAACTGCTGTTTGTTCTTCAAAACTATGTAAAGCTGCTCACCTTTTCTTATCAGTAACTGCCAGAATTGCTAGCCTTTGCTTAACAGCAATTGCCAGACTAAGCAGCCCAAGCTAGTTCCATCCTGGCTCCTGTGGCTTGTAATAAGTAACTAAGGTCTGTGATTTCCACCTTAACCAGATAATGTGTAAACAAATGTTTATCTTGACTTCTGTAAACCACTTAAGTAATAAACGGAATGACAAAAGTCCCCTGGCCCTTGGAATGTCCGGAGACCCCCACCCTCATCTCTGCCCAGAAGGTAATTTACAGAATCCACAAGCCCTCGGAATGTCTGAAGCCTTTTCATCCCCATCCCCGCCCCTCACCCCCACTCCCAAGGTGGTTTTTCGGGTATAAAAAATCATGGCACCCTCCTTTTGGCACCACAGGTTGGAGAGACGTGAGTCCTCTGTGGTCGCCAGCATAATAAATGACCCTGCAATCTGGCATACTTTTGTCTTGTGGTAACTTTCTACGCTCCGGTCAAATACAACACCTGCACCCATGGGTGTTGTAAACAGTGATTACCACGGCCTGTAAGTCACCCTCCCATCGCTGCTCAAGTCCGAGGCTTGCTTAAGCCGTTCTCTACGCCCTTCTCCCGTGCCTTCTCAGCTACGGCACACGCCCCTCACGGGCAGGCCTGCGTCCTCATCCCCGGAGTCCCTGCACCACGGGCCAGGTGGGCACAGCTACTCTAACTGTGGGGCTGAGGCCCACCCGGGGCTCACCGTGCACATGGCGGAGAATGCCCTGGGACCCCCAGTTCTCTACCACTTGCGTTACAGAGCACTCTCAGCTCGCCCTGAGAAGCATCCAGAGATGTCCAGTATTCAACAAGAAGAAAACGGAGGTTGCGGAGGCCATGGTGGAACAGGAGACAGGACGAACCCAGGCCCCGCTGCATGCCCGGCCACCACCCACTAAGCCACAGGACCCCTTCCTTGCAGTGAGGACGGGTGCGGGAATCACGGGAAGGGCTCTCCAACACAGTGGTCTCCCAAGCTGGCTCTGCAACTTCATGAATTTACAGGAAAATACAAATTGTAGGAATACAAAGATGAAGCTGAAAAGTGTCCTGTTTCAACTACCAAGAGCATCGAGCTTGGACCCTACGGCCCAAACCCCAAAAATCTGTTCCCACTGAGACTAAAACATTGAAATAATCAACACAGAGGAAGAAGTGCTTGGGTTTAAGTACTATAGTAGGTATCAAAAATCCCTCGGGTTTTGGAAACAAGCTTCCTAACTTTGTAGATACCTGAGACATGTCTGACCGTCTGTATAATGACAACCAACTCGTCTGTGCTCCAGACAAAAAGAAGCTGGCCGGGAGGGTGGGGTTTGTAGGATCAGAGGGAAGAACAACCTCAAGTGTTTCGGCAGCACTCTTGTACCCTCATGCATAAAAGCATACAGCAGCAGCTCTTTGGTTTCGATATTCAGGTCATGTCCAAAATAGTCAGGCACCACTCAAATGCTGGCGGGTGACTGGCATGCCTCAGGAAACCCCAGGCTGAGCAACGTTAGTGGCTGGCAGAGGAACCCAGCCGCTGGCTGTGGTCACAGGAGAACCCAACCATTAAAATCACAACGAAATCCTTACATAGAGCCAGCTATGGCCAGGGTTGCACCACAGTCACCGTGAAACCCAACTTTCACAACGCCACTTAGATGGCTTCCGGAGAGCCCAGTTGCTGACTTCAGATGCAACGCAGGCCAGCTGCCGCTGCAGGAGACAAGAGGAGCAGCAGCCAGCCCACCGGCAGGATACACCCTCAGAGCACGAGTCAATCAAAGACGTGTCCTCAGAACTGCCCTCCTGCTAGCCTCAGGCCATCCCCTCCAGGAGAACCGAGTCCATGCACAAATGAAAAACAGGTTAGTCACAGGGAAGAAGATATACCTAAAACACACAGCGGTACAGGTTAAGAGAAATGAGTAAAAACTTTAACATTTAAATTCAACTGTGTATCAATCAAGTTGCCAGTTCAAACCCTGGCTCATACCCTTTGAAGAAAATACAGATATTCATCTAGTCCTCTCCTCCTGAGTTTACATTGTCCTGAGGCGTTAACTCATTCCCTCCATCCACATTTCAAGCCCCAGCCTGGGCAAATGCCCCTGACAGCCACTAAGGAGATCCAGAGAACAAACCAGCGCCCGAGTGCCTCCCACAGAGCGCGGTGGGTGAGGAGGGGAGGAAACGGTGCAGGCGCTGCCGGCAGACACTACCGGACGGCAGCTGGGGCAATAGCCCGCTTCTGGGCAGCCCACGGGACTCTGAGGGTCTGCGAGGGGCTCCGATTCCTGCAGGTGCTGCTTTTTCTACCTTTTCTGACAGCACTGAGCAGCTGCACGTAACAGAGGGAGCAGGAAAAATCCTATTGTGATGGGATCGAAAGATCACCTTGCATTTAACTGCCATTTTCCATTTACAGCATTTTATCTCATGGTATTTGATGGAATTTAACAGCCATTTTCCACTTAAAGTGTTTTATCTCATGTTATTTGATGGACATTGAAAAAAAAAAGCCTCATGAAGTAAGAATTTCATTACTCTCACCTTGGTTTTGAGGCAAAAGCCAGAAGGACAAGTGTGATGTGTCCAAGTCCTATTACCAGTTAGGAGTGAGCACCACCTTCAAGTGTACGCTTCCCGCCACCGAGGTGACACTGGGGCCCACCCAGGTGGAGAAGCAGCAGCCCCACCAAGCGGCCCTCAGCGGATCCTGAGAACCCACAAGAGGCGCTGGGGAGATGGGAAGAACACGCACACCCCACACATGTGCCTCTGCTGTCCTGAGCCCCCTCAGCCCAAGGCGCCCACGGCCCCCGCTGGTGGGAAGGCCTGGTCGAATGTCGCTATAGGCAGTCTCCCCCGCTGCAGTGCCCAGGACATGAGGAGAACAGAAGAGCTCGGCATCCGGCTGCTGAGGCTCATGGGATCCCCGCGGCGCAGTGTCACCCGGCAGCAGACCACCCTGTCCAGCCTCAGTCCCTGCCTTCCCCAGGCATATCCCCACATCACGCCCATCAAGGCCCCCCAAAGGCCGGGACAGGCTTGCCCTCCAGGCTTAGCCAGGCAGTGTCCCTGCCACCACCTGTGCCTCTCCCTTCCTGGAGACATGTCCTACGGTCCCCAAAGAGCTGAAGGGTCCCCATCACCGTTAACTGCCTTCCCACTTTCCAGAACCCCTATCCCTGACTCTGGCGGTTCAAATCCTAAGCCGACTCCCAGCTCTCGTTCTGTGTGGCCATGAGAGGCGCTGTGGGAAACGAGACGAGAGAACCAGAGGGGCTTGTAATCTTGCGCCTTCGTGGGTGGCATGCACTTATCAGTCACAAAGGAATGAAAAGCAGCACCCCTGCTAATCCCATCTCAAGTGCAAGGGAAAGTGCAGCACGCCACGGAGTGCCAACAATTCATTTCTTGAAATTACAGACTCGAGCGCTGCCTCGAGAAACAAAAGGCGTCTCGCAGCCTCTGCCAGGTGGAAGCCAGCCGGCACGCCCCCTCCCAAGGCAGCATGCAGCCCACACCCCTCACACGTCCAGCCCCAGGCCAAGCAAGCCACCTTCTCCAAGCCTGCTGCCTCACTCCTTTATGAGAAAAGACTGTGGGGTCACACCTGTCCTCGGTCTGTTAGCACAAGAGCCCATCACAGCCACTTGCAGGGCCACCTCCAGGTCACAGCATCTGGGTACTTGCTGAGGAGGCTTCGCCCACTTTTCTGCCAGGAGCCCACACTGACCAGACCTTCCTCCCAGCTCTAGGTCACTGTGGGGGGCTCAATATCCCACGGCCGACAGACAAACACCCACCCCTGTGTGGAGTCCACATTCTGCCCTTAAAGATGCATATAGGACAGTATCACCATTTCACCCCACAGAGAACCTAGAGAATAAACAAGCGCTTGACCGCCCAAGTTCAAAAGAACCCATGTCCTGTGTCCTGGGCTGAACAGTGTCCCCACAAAACTCATGTCCTGCCCAGGACCCCAGATTGTGACCTGACTTGGAACTGGGGTCTCTGCAGATGTGATTATCTAAGTTGTGATGATGTCATCCTGGAGAAGAAGGGCTCCAAATGCAGTGACTGTCCTCATAAGGAGAGGAGAAGGGGACACGAGGAGACACAGGGAGAAGCCAGCCATGGGGGACACGGGCAGAGGCTGGGGGGTGCGGCCGGCACGGAAGCTGGGAGAGGGAAAGACCCTGCAGAGTAAGCGTGGCCCTGCTCACACCTCGATCTCAGGCATCGGTCTCCAGACCTGTGTGAGGACACAAGTCTGTTCTAAGCCAGCCAGGCTGGGAGCTTTGTTACAGTGGCCACGGGAACCTGTGAGGCACCCTGCAAGACACAACAGGGCCAGGACGCACACCTGCCCACACAGGGACAGGGGCAGGCGAAGCGGCCCCTGGCAGCCGCTGCTTCCGGCTAGGAAATACCACCTGCCCTTGGAGTGAATGATTTAAAAAGAACTACAATCATCTGACAGGTCAAGCTTGAATGCATAGCTTTTTACTCTGTGCAAATGAATGCAATCTCTAACTGCTAAGAGGCGTCGTGCGGACCTGCCACCCACAGCAGCATTCTTTGAAGCAGATGGGACCGGGCGTGCTCAGGGTAGCATGGCTATAGACAGCAGTCTTTAGAAAAGTCCTCAGATCGGGGTCGGCGGCTTGGATGCACAGTCCAGGCAGAGGCCTGTGTGAGCCATGGGTAGAAATCCTAAGAACTAACCCACTTTCCCTTCAGAGAAAACAGGCAGGCGAGTGCTGCCGTCCTTCCAGCTCATCACTCAGGAAAATGCTCCAAGGTTTCCAAAGTTCCGACAATAAGCTACCTTTGCATCAGACACAAATGTTAGCTGCCCAAATCCAGGAGTCCAGCAATCCTTGGGAACTCGAAGAAAGCCAACACCCCAAAAAGCAAATTTCTCCCTCTCCCTCTTTCCGAAAGCTCATTTCCTCATTTCAGGAAGGTGGTACTTAGAGACATTACCTACAGTGTGTTTCCAAAATACAGACTTTTTTCTTCAGAAAAAGAAACAAAATCTTTCTGCTGACGAGTAAGAAGGAGAAACTTAAATCAAAATCTGCTCCCTCCGGAGCTGCCCGGGTTGGGTGAGGACAGCAGGCTCTGACTGCTGAGGCCACAGGCGTCACTGCGGGTTCTGAAGCAGCAGCAGTGAGGTGGGGCGAGGCAGCCAATGCCGCTCCTGCGCTGGGGCTGGGGAGGTTTGCTCCGTGCATTTATTTGACTTGTTTTGTTTTTTGGCCAACAATCACAAAGAATGAAACTGAGCCACAGGGAGAAAAGGTAAAGTAATGCTTTGAACATTTCAACAATTCCACCTAAGCACACGCGACACAGGTCCACGTGGCCTGAGAGGGTAAAAGAAGGAAGGGCTCCCGTTCCCACCTCCACCCAGATTTCACTCCAGAGGAAGTGAGCCCAGGCAGGTGTCACCTGCGGCCCGCAAGGGCAGGTGTGACGGCAGGCCGTCCTCTCTCAGCCCATAGAGCAGGGCTCCTCCCCATGTGGACACCAGAGGAGCTGGGAACAGGGAGGCACAGCAAGGGCCTATGGTCACACAGGTCACGATTATAGGCGCTAACTCCATCCTGTAAGCTCTAGCTCCTGTCCCACAAGACACTGCCTTGCGGCTGGGTGCAGGGGCTCACACCTGTAATCCCAACGCTTTGAAAGGCCAAGGCGGCCAGATCACCTGAGGTCAGGAGTCTAGACCAGCCTGGAAAACAGGGTGAAACCCAGTCTCTACTAAAAACAGAAAAATTAGCCCATGGTGGTGGGCGCCTGTAATCCCAGCTATTGAGGAAGCTGGGCCAGGAGAACTGCTTGAACCCAAGAGGCGGAGGTTGCAGTGAACCAAGATCACACCACTGCACTCCAGCCTGGGCAACAAAGTGAGACTCCATCTCAAAAAGAAAAAAAAAGAAGACACTGCCTGGCCAGTGAGCTGCCAAGGGGGCCGATGAGTGCCAAGGAGAAGGCTGGATGCTAACAGCCATGAGCATGCCCCAAGCCATGAGGTCCGGCAGCCTGGTAAGCAAGCCAGTGACCTCGGCTGTTTGGGGGACAGCCCCAAAGCTGGCGGGCCCAGGAGAGCCCATGCCAGTCTCCCACTACCATTCAGGCCTCCAGACCCCCATCGAGGTTGGCAGCCCTTCCCAAGCAAGCTCAGCAGGGAAGGTCAGCTCACGGCCACAACACGCATGGAGTCGGTGCTGGCCCCACTCTGCCCCATGCAGTGTCTTCCACCGCCCCACACAGACTCCCTGAGTAGAGACACGGCCACCCCACCGCCACAGGCTCTGCTCTGAGTATCGCCCTCTCATGCCCGTCACCTTGCCGGAACATTCTCTGTGCCTGATTTAAAAAACGACAAATGGCAGATGATGCCTCAGCCTGACTTCCCAAATCAGACCCAGCCGCCCTCCAGCTTCATAGCCGATGCCCCTGTCATCTCGCTGGAGGAGCAGGGACTCCTCCCCTGGGAACAGGACCCACCAAAGAATGCCACCGCCCCACACAGCATGGCCTGCTCGTCCGACCTCACCTGTGAACAGGGCCCACCCCACAACATCACCGCCCCACACGGCACACTCACCCCACCTCACCTGGGAACAGGGCCCACCCCACAACATCACCGCCCCACACGGCACGCTCACCCCACCTCACCTGGGAACAGGGCCCACCCCACAACATCACTGCCTCACATGCATGGCACGCTCACCCCACATGCCACCATCCTTTCCCCTCCAACCGTGGCCCAGCCTGACACTTCCGTGACACCTCACAACGCCACCTCTCAGGTGACAGATGCTTCTGTCTGCTGTTTCTCACGCTTATTTATACATCTCAGTACACTCCATACCATGACCCACACGCCCAGCACTAGCACAAAGCAACCCCTGGGTTTCAAACTACAAGCACGTCACGTGGTCAGGTACGCAGATGTGCGCTCTCGGCCACGCCATGCCCTAAAGCTGAGGAGGGGACGGTGGGCCTGCCACCCACCTCTGAAGGCAGTGTCCTGTCACAGCACAGCCATGGCCATGCTCTTCATCTGTGGCTGCTTTCAGAGCTGAGGGGCTGAAGAGAGACTCCAGGGCCCACAAAGCCTGAATCACCTGCCATGTGGCCCTTCAGAAGAAGGCTGTGAGTGACACCTGCCCCATGACCCTCTGTTCCTCTGTGACTTGCTTTACTCCGCCCCTGAGAAGCCGTGAGGGGCCCCCGCGTGTGATCTCCCAGGCAGTCATCTGAGACTACCTTCAGGGTCCAGGACGGGCGCCCGCCAGAGTCTGACAGCCAGGGCACACGCCTGGGCCAAGACATGGCAATGAGAAGATGCCACGACCTGCTCACACATGTGTGGGTGGGACCTGGGCGCCACGTCTCAGCAGCTTCCAGAAAAACCTGAAGTCAGCACAACCCTCAGTCTCGCTCAGACCCTACTTCCACAGCAACTACTCAACAGCCGAGCCCTTCCACTATGACAGAGGCTCAAGGGCCACACCGTGCTTCCCGGAGGAGCAAGGCTCTCTCCTACGGGAACGGCGGCCCCCTGCATGGTGAGACCTGGGCGCGGGGTGCGTCGCCTAGCTCGCCTTACTGGGAGATCGGATTCACATTTCACGCTCCCCTGCGGCAAGTCTCCAGAACCCGGATTTCTGGAAGGCGCCCCTCCCGCGAGATGCCCCGTGTCGCTTGCGTTCGCTAATGCTTCACTTCAGAAGCCAGGCAGGCGGCTTCTGGAGCAGGTGGGCTCTGTGGAGCAAAGGGACCATGGACGCTGGCAAGGAGGACCTGAGCGTCCGTCAAACGCTATCAAAGGACAACACCGCCATCGCCACTGGAGCAAGCCCTGCTCTTCATGGGGGGGGAAACGTCACAGGCTGGACTGGGCATGAAAATCGAGCTCTGGAGCTCTCCTGGCCCTGGCACGGCTGCCGAGCCCCAGCCCTCTGAAGGAAGGAGGCAGGCGCACTCCGCCCGCTCCGGAGAGGCTCAGCGCCTGTCAACACAGCCAGCAGGATGGCAGGGACGGCCCCGGCTCTCCCGCTTCCTCAAGAGTGGCCTGAGGACAGGAGGCGAGGAGGTTTTCACCCTAATTTAAGGGTACACTGTAGGTGTCAAACGCTATGGGGTACATGAGATGCCTTGGCACGGGCACGCCATGCATAATAAGCACATCAGAGTCAACCGGGCACCCATCCCCTCAAGCAGTGATCCCCAAACTGCCTGGAGAAACACAGCCCCAGGCTGGCCCTCCTGACGCCAGCGTCCCCAGCACGAAACGCGGGTCCTGACCCAGCTCCCCGAGGCAGGGCCCGACTTACACCGGATGCCGTAGATGGTGAGCGGGTCCAGCTGCTTCTTCCCGTGCTTGCCCTGCCCCGAGAGGTTGGACACGGCCTGCACCTCGCGGTGGAACAGGTAGTCCAGCAGCGTGAGCGCCATCTTCTCGGCCGTGCGGCAGTTGGTGCTGATGTGCAGCATGTCGGACGGGATGATGGCGCAGCGCACCCGCATCTCGGGGTTGTTCTCGTCGCCCAGCCAGGTGCCGTTGGGGTAATCCTCTGAAAGAGAGAAGGCAGGGTCCTGAGATGGCCACACTCAGGGCAGCAGAGCACTGCGCTCGGACACGCCCAGCGAGCTGGGCAGGCCCCTCCCAACTTGCGATGCAGTCACCAAGAGCACTGGAGCCTCCGACTGCTGCCAGAGACAGCACTGACGAGGAACGGAAACGACGCCGCCACCCCCAGAGGGCCGAGATGTCCTTATATCCATTTCACACGGACGACTGTGGCGGGCAGGCGGCGTCCTGGCGAACGTGCACTCAAGGCCAGCCCTCAGAGCTCAGCCCGCCCCGCTGCGCACCTAGTGCCCCGGCATCTGCAGCGCCCGGGACGGCCCTGCCTACGGCTGGCACAGCACTGGCCAGCGTGCGCCCAGCAGCAGGAGCCTCCGTAGCCCCCAGCGGATGTCGCCCAGACCCGAGCGGGAGCACAGGCCAAGCTCATCCTCAGCTGGAAGAGGTGACATCAAACAAGCTCTAGTCTCAAACACCAGGTTCTCTTCACAGCCCCAGCAGGGTGAAAAGCTTTCAAAAAATAAAAATGTAAACGTCTGGCCACATCTGGAAGGAAACCACCTGCCACATCTGTCTCTGGAAGAATGCTGAGCCACCGCCTGTTCCTATGTTTAGAGGACTCTGCACTGAGAAGAGGCTCTGGGGCCTCCACACAGCCCACGGTGCCCAGCACGTCCCCACTGCCCTCTGCACTGCTGAGGGTCGGCCCGGCCTGGTATGAGAAAATGGCTCCGTGCAGGACATGCTGAGCTCCGACGGGTCTGCCGTTCTCCCCATGGAGTCCAGGCCAGCACCGCTGCCCTTCCATGCTCTGTGAGCCTCACGCCTCCCTGAGGCAGCTCCACAGTGAGCCTGGGGTCTGCGCATAGCACTTGCCCTGACCTGCTCAGAGCACTGGAATCCTGTCTCTTCCTCATAGCCAAAGTTCCTTCTTTGCCACATCCCTTTATCATGTGGAACTCAACCCTTGTGATCTTGTGACCTCAAAGGTCACTAAGAACAAAAAGAGAAAGCCAAGGCTGCGTCTGGGGGCAGGGCAGGGGGACATGGGAGCAGCAGGGCCAGGTGCCTGTGGGGCCTTGGGATCTGAGCACCAACAGAGTCACACACTGTGCTAATCCTGGACCTGGGACCCTGGAAGTATTAATATCCTTGCACACAGTTGGTATCTGCCCCAATCACCTGCTGAGCGGAACCTTCCCCAGGGCTCCTCACGCCTCACTGCCAGGGATGCTCTCCCACTAGCCAGCCACTCCCACCAAGAAGTACGTGGAAGCAGCTGGCTTGCCGCCCGCCCCATGGACACAATGCCAGCCCTTGCCTCTGCATAGCATAAGTCACAGCATGCCCTGGACACCGGCATTCTCAGGGCAGTTAAAATACAGCGGCCCACAGCGGCGTACTCAGGTGTGGGAATGCGCCACGTTCTCCACCGTCGGCAAAGCCACAGCGAGGAATCGTGGACAGGCGCACACTCCACAAGGAGAAGAGAGGTAGCCAGGCACCTGGAGAAGCCGGAGCTTGCCAGCAAAGCACACTCCCGTGGCGACGGAGCGGGACTTCCCACCTGCCTGCCCAGGGAGTGACGCGTGCCAGCACCCCCACACCTCTCCACCTCTCTCCCAAGCAAGCCAAGCCCTCAGCCAGCTCTCAGCTTCTTAGCTGACCCTTCACAAGTCACTGTCTCTGAACCACAGACTCCTTCTCTGCATAGTGGCCTCTCCGGGCTGTCCTCGTGGTGACCGATGCAGTAGGTGAAAGGCTTGACAGCTTGTCAAACCCCCTTTCAAAGCCTTCCCGTGCAACAGAGGAAAGCTGCACACACGATCATAAACCACACAACGGGCACCCCAGCTCGGAGGCTCAGCAGCTCCCCAACATTCTATTCTGACCCTGAAGCTGAACCAAAGTAAAGCCGTGAGTCTCCCCTCCCCCGGCACATCCTCCTCTGTGGAAGGATGGACACCTAAATACCTCCCTCGAGGGGCCAGGACCTAGGAGGCCTCCACCCTCTGTCGGAGTCTCCACGGCCTAGGGCCAGGTCACAATCATGCCACCCTGGGCATCGCCGCCACAAAATGTCTGTAAGCTTTACTTTGAAACGTCCCAACACTGACTTTCCGGCTCCTAAAAGGGTAGCCAGCCGGGCCAGCCGAGCCAGGAAGCCTGGAGCACAGCTGAGAAGCCATGGCCACCGTCTGGTCCTAGTGTGCACGGCTCCCTTCACAAGCAGCCTCATTCGCCAAAACATGTTATTCCCCAACACAGAAGATTTCCATGAAGTATCAGGGCAGGGCTGGTCACCGCCATGGGGGCAGGGCACGGTGGCTGGGCTCTTGGCCGTAGCTCAGGATAGAAAACAGCTCTAATTTTTGGAATTCAGGATAAGAGGTGAATAAGAAGTATCAAAGCTCAGAGACCGTTGAGAAGTGCAGGGATGGTGCTTGGAACGTGGGCTCAGACACGTGCATCTGTCACACCATCTGTCAGCCACTGTTACATTCCACCTGGACCTGAAGAGCCAAATGAAACATATGCCTCAAGGCTAATCAACGGATGCAGTCTCGTGGCAGGGGCTGTCCAGAGGCCACAGCTGGAAAGGTGAGAGGCTCCAACTTTGGGGATTTTATGAAGTTATCTATAAATCCTTATGGGACAGCCAAGTGCCTGGCACCGGGTCTGAAGCTCGGCATCTTAGCCCTTGCTCAGAGGCACAGGTCAATGCCATCAGACACTGCGGCGCTGGCCCTGGCCAGCAGCACTCCAGTCAGGATCTGTGGGGAGGGGAAGGCCAGAGCACAGAGGAGGCATGTAAGCCAAGGCAGGAGCAGGACAGTCTCTGAGATCCAAAGCCACACTCTGGTCACACCATGGCTAGAGATGGTCATGGACTCCACAGGACTGAAGGCTTAAATGGGAATCTGCAGGGGAAACCCAAGATGCGGGAGGACGGTGGCCGAGGCAGCCCCATAGCAGTGGCGCCTGCACAACACGTAACCCCAGCACCGCATGCTTCTCCCGCACAGACGGGAGGCCCCAGACACAGCTCCCCACTTGTGCTGCCTTAACACACCACAGGTTTCCTAGTCAGATCAAACCTGTGTCTGTCCTTGTGAAGGGCGGATTTTTAAAAATTTCTGCCGTGGGGGCCTGGGCAAGGGGCAGAGATTTGCTTGTGGCCACTGGTGGCTGGGAAGCAGAGGCTGCACAGGCCCACGCTGGCAAGTGGGAACTGTCCCACTGCAAGATCCTTCCGTACCAGCGCTGCCAGGGTGACACCCTCAGACGCTACCCAGCATGAGCTGGGACCTCGGGAATCAGCCTCAATCCCATATAGAGGCTGCTTGATGCGGGCTCTCAGCCCCAGCCAGCCACAGAGCCCCAGGTGAAGGAGTGCAAATGGAGTGAAAGCCGCCGGGGCGCTGGAGGAGCACCTGCGGAAGCCACTCGGCAGCTGCTGGAGTGCAGGACCTCGGCCCACCCCTCCTGACTCCCAAGTGCCACAGACAGCGGCTGGCAAGTGAAGGGAGACAGGCTCTCGGCCACAGTGCTGACTTCAGACGAGAACAAGTGACCGAGGCAGGAAACACAGAAGGAGCCACCCAGGGGAAGAACTCGGAGAACATTCCAGAGCAGAGAGCAGCACCAGCCTGGGCCAGGAGGGGACACATGCTCCAGGAAGGTAAGGGAACCAGAGTGGCCAGAGCAGGGAGTGTAGGGCAGAGGAGTGACAGGGAAGGGTGGAGAACCGAGCAGAGCCCAGTCACCCAGGCAGAGAGCAGGTGCCCATGCCCAGCTTGGTCCGAGCTAAACCAACACAAGCAGAGGGCACGAGCTGAGGGGGCACGGGCAGAGGGCACGAGCTGAGGGGGCACGGGCAGAGGGCACGAGCTGAGGGGACAAGCAGCTGATTACAGGGCTGCTCAATAATCCAAAAACAGCAGAGGACCTGGGGTAGGTACGGCCTACATGAGACCCACTGTCTTTGAAGTTCCCAGGGTTCCTAGCACAGAGGCTCATTTAACTGGAACTCTGGTCAGATGGAGGTGGTCTCTAGTGACAACAAGCATCTCTGGACTTGGGACCTGGAGACCACAAGCAGAGGACCCGAGGCAGGCAGCAGGAAGGGCGCAGCTTCCCTCATGGGCCTCCCCGACCATCACCCACACCGGGACACGGGCAATGCAGGGCCAGTGCGCGGATGGTGCGGGGATGGTGAGCAGAGGCTCTCAGCTGGAGCCACCACACTGCCAAAGACTCCTGCAGCCTCTCGCAGGCGTAACAGTGCTAAACCGTACTTAGCTGAGCTCTCCGTGGTGAGATATTTTTAAAGTGAACACTCAACAAGAATTCAGAGTTGTTTTTCAAACAATGAGTCAAAATCATGTCAAAGTGTCACTGAGACCCTCCAGGAGGGATGACGTGGGCTCCCCGTGCCCACACCGAGAACCTCCCTGACTTAGGGTGAGAGCCAGCTCTGGGGGAACTGCCGCTCACCATCTCCGTCCTCCTCGGGCTCCCACCTCAAAGCAATATCAGGACAGCTGTGGAGCTCATCCTCCCACAGGCTTCAGGCCCCACGCGAGGGCCAGTGTGCAAATGTCCAGACCCAGTGCACCCAAGGCCAGCTGCGCCCTCCACCCCACACGGAGCTGCCCAGCAATGGGTGGCTCCTCCGCACTTTGGGTCACACCGAGCCCTCCCACAACCACTGGCCTCATCCAGGCCTTAACAATTCTTCCTGGCCTTTCTTCAGCACTGCAGGGGACTCTGACCGCAGCATAGTGGCCACCTGGCCTGTCCTCCCAGGGATCTCCTGCCTCAGCATCCAGCAGGACCCAGCTTGTGCCAGCCTCTTGGGGCTCACGGCTCACAGCACCACGCCCTGCACTTCACACTCCAGCACATCCACATTATCGGTACAGGCGTGCCCCAGTTTGCTGGTCCCCATCCATGCCTGTGTCCATGGAGTTCCTGTCGGCAACACCATTCCTGCCTCACTCCACCAGGCACTAGAGATTTTCAGGGGTCCACTCCCCCAGGCCAGGGGCACACCTCCCCTCACTCAGCGCTGGGAGCCCAGGGCCAAGGGTGGGGTCTGGCACAGAGGCAGTGAAGCGAACTCAGGCCCTGCAAGTCCAATGCTATCAGTGGAGGCAAGGTAGGATCCACCTTCAGTACCTTCAGGAGCCCCCAGGTGACCCAATGTATGGCCAAGACTGAGAAGCACGCTCATTAAGGCTCATGAGGAACAAGGTGATAAATTAGAGCCCACGTAGTGAACAGAATTAACCAGGAATCTACAGGAAGCATCCTGGGACTTGCATTCTCAGACCAGCAGCATCAGCAGTGACAGGGGACCTGCTGGAAATGCTCATTCTCACGCCCTGCCCCACCCCCACAAATCAGAGGCTTGGGGTGGGCCCTGTTGAACAAGGGGATTCTGACCTGTGTAGGAGGGCCTCACATCGTACAAGCCCCGTGTACAGACAGAGCTCCAGGCAGGCTTTCTGCCTCCTGTACCAGGGCACAAAGGCCAGCTGAGCTCTGACAGGTGTGGGCAGCAGTCTAAGGACTAGGCATGAGGCAGGCCCATGGGCACACAGCACTGAA